CTAGATCACCACACAGAGGAATGGCAGCAACACCATTACTCCGCTCACCAGAATGTAATGAACAGAAAATCTATGATATGCACAAATCGTTGATCTGTGTCTTATTAAGCGTTGTGAGCGGCCAACAGTACACGTACGACTGTTTCTTTTTCGGAGCATACTCTTTGAGTCGGTTTCAATCACAAAATGTCGGAATGGACTACTCTCCAGTCAACGGAATTTTGAATTAAATATCGACATCATAGCGCTCGAGACACTCCCATAAGCGCTCCGTCCCCATCTTCAACAGTAAGCGAAGAGCTCCAGTTCTGATGGTACCAGTAACTCTCTTATTGTGCATCCGATCTTGCCTTTCCCTTGAGGGTTGAGCATTGAACAGATCCCCTGGTAACTTCCCGCATCACCCATTCTACCTTGACCGTAATAACCTATTTGTGCCTCCGCACTGTTCACTCGCCCCCAAAGGACTCCAGTCAACAGACAGCTGCCGTTACTGCCTCCACCTCTATTCTAATCCTTGATTGAAGGATCCCCTTCTGTCAACAAGGTCCAGTCACGTTTGCTACAGAACCCCACCCACTCGTTTTACCGCTCACTACAGATACCAACCATTCCGTTGGTTTCGACATTTGTTTCGAGAAGCTGACCGTCCAAAAAGCAAAAGCAAAATACTGGACGTACACAAAATGCTGGTTTTGGCTTTGCAACGCCCTGTTAAGGATACGCAGCTACTTTTTAACAGATACATACAGAAAACGTAGGAAAGGCCGCACTTACGTAACCGGGGCCACCTAACTACAGTCGGGAAACATCAATATGAAAACGAGACAACACATGCGGTGTGTCGATGCATTTTAGCACACAAATCCATCAATCAGCCATTCAGTTTGTCAGCCAATTGATCCAACACATCGAGGCAATTGTTTTCTTCTGTTTCTCTTCTTTCTTTATTTTTTAAAATCTTTCTCTTTCTTTCTTTCTTTCTTTCTTTCTTTCTTTCTTTCTTTCTTTCTTTCTTTCTTTCTTTCTTTCTTTCTTTCTTTCTTTCTTTCTTTCTTTCTTTCTTTCTTTCTTTCTTTCTTTCTTTCTTTCTTTCTTTCTTTCTTTCTTTCTTTCTTTCTTTCTTTCTTTCTTTCTTTCTTTCTTTCTTTCTTTCTTTCTTTCTTTCTTTCTTTCTTTCTTTCTTTCTTTCTTTCTTTCTTTCTTTCTTTCTTTCTTTCTTTCTTTCTTTCTTTCTTTCTTCCTTGTCTTCTGTCTGTCTGTCTGTCTGTCTGTCTGTCTGTCTGTCTGTCTGTCTGTCTGTCTGTCTGTCTGTCTGTCTGTCCGTCTGTCCGTCTGTCTGTCTGTCTGTCTGTCTGTCTGTCTGTCTGTCTGTCTGTCGGTCGGTCGGTCGGTCGGTCGGTCGGTCGGTCGGTCGGTCGGTCTGTCTGTCTGTCTGTGTGTCTGTCTATTTGTCTGTCTGTATGTCTGTCTGTCTGTCTGTCTGTCTGTCTGTCTGTCTGTCTGTCTGTCTGTCTGTCTGTCTGTCTGTCTGTCTGTCTGTCGTATTGTTCAGTCGCTGTCTGGTTAATGTTTGCAGTTGTTCAGACCTCTTATTTGTAGTTGTTATTTGTTTACTTGTAATTTTTCATTCTCTTGCATATAATCTAACAGCCTCTTTTTGTAATTGTTTACACACACACACACACACACACACTCTCTCTCTCTCTCTTTCTCTCTCTCTCTCTCTCTCTCTCTCTCTCTCTCTCTCTGTGTCTTTCTCACCCTTGTGATTGCTCAGCCTCTTTTTGTATTTATTCACACACACACACACACACACACACACACACACTCTCTCTCTCTCTCTTACACCCTAATAATGGATGAGTCTTTTCCTTGTATTTGTTCTCTCTTTCTCTCTCTCAATCTCTCTCTCTCAATCTCTCTCTCTCTCTCACCCTCAGTCTCTCGCTGATATTTCTTTAGTCTATTTTTTTTTGTATTTGTTCCATCTCTCACAGTTTGAATTGGTTCACTGTGTCTTTTACTTATTCAGTCTCCCTGAGGTAATTGTCCAGTCACCTATTATTTTACTTGATCAGAAACGTTAACCCCCGCCCCACCCCACACCCAAATATATATATATATATATATATATATATATATATATATATATATATATATATATATATATATATATAAAAAACATATTTTTATTTAATTTTATTTCAGGAAAATGTCCTCCCAGCGCGAGAACACAAGGAACTCTCCAGTGGGGAAAAATAAGGCATGACAATGAGTATTTTTGTCTTGTTATAAAATTGTCATCAGTGTAGTTTGTTTGCTTCCACTGGCTGTAAACTCCAGCGGGCAATCCTGGCTGTTTGTCCAGTTCGGGACATTGGCTTTGTTTAAGAAACTGAGTGTTGATTACTTGCTTGCTTGTTGTACCCAACTAGGACATCACACAAGCGATAAACAACCGGTGGCACAGAGTGCACCCATGTGGATGAGGATCACCCATGGAGCGGTCCCAAAAACCCCTTTCAGCCGTTATGGCCACAATTGTGGCCCTTTCTTTAAACCCCCCCCCCCCCCCCCCCCCCCCCAGTCAAAAATTGAATCCTACAAGGGGCAACAAGAAAAAAAAACTGAATATTGTGTGTGGATCCGCTTTATAGATCTGACTGATCTACATACTGACCTTTCCTCGTCGCCTCCAAGGCAGATGTTCTCCGATTTAGAAAGACACACCCCTACGACATACTTCTTCTTTGTCACCTTGTGTATTTTCCCTAAAAGAACAACCCTGGAACCCAGGAACACAGGAACCCACACAGGAATAGTTTACTTAGAATATTTTTACTTTCTTTTTTTATTTGTCTAGAATGTTTTTACAGGTAAGTAAAAAGTAAAAGACCATTTCCCACGCCTATCCTTTGTATATAGTGCTAGTTAGTTGCATATCCTTTACAGGACTTTCAGAAGCAACCCAATAATTTTTTCGCTGTAGTGGTTTTTTGGGCAAATTTACGTCCAGTAGTTTGCGATTGCCTTTAGACGGTCGGCTTTCGGTACCACCTTCGAAACCAACGTAAGACAAACCATCCGTAGCTGGGATCGAACCCGGTAATGGATGTTTACCCCTCAAAGGTCCAAAATATTGTCATCTTCACAGATTCAATGTCTGCCCTTCAAGCTCTGGAGGGCAATGAACGCTGCAGAACTGACATAGCCAAGATAATCCTGGATGCCGATCAGCTTATTACCTCATACAACATCAGAATAGTGATGCAGTGGATTCCAGGTCACTCCGGCACACCAGGTAATGACAGAGCTGACAGATTGGCAAAGAAAGGAGCAACACAAGAACAACCACCTACAGCGACAACCCTCCAGACAGCAAAAACACTGATAAGAGCTATAAACAAAGAGACTTGGTTGAACAGATGGGCCATGGGAGACACTGGAAGAGAGGTTTATAGACATATGTCTGGCCCTGATCCTAATGACAGCATTAACCATCTAACAAGAAGGGACCAGGCCATCATCTTCAGACTTAGAACGCAACATACTCCACTCAATGGACACCTAAACAGAATACAGCCACAACACTCCCCAGAGTGCCAGCTATGTAACTACCCCTACGAAACTGTTGAACACCATCTCTTTGAGTGCCCAAAACTCAGTGAGACAAGAAGAACGCTACTCCCTCCGAGACCAGACAAGTGGAACACCTTGTACGGAGGAAAAGAACAACTTGTGAAAACATGCAAATTCCACTACATGGCATTGGGCCAAAGGGCGAAAGCTCATGCGCCGCTGGATCGATAACAACAACAACAACAACAACCCGGTACTCCGGCATTACGAAGAGCTTTCACCGCGCATGTCACAGATGCTGACCAGGGCTAGACTAATATTTAATAACCGGTGGGGCCTCGGTGGGTATATTTTTGGGTTCGTGTCCTGACGGAGGAGGGCACCCATACTTCAAGAACTAAAATTAAAGAAAGTTGGCTATTAAAGACGACAAAACATAGACAATTAAAATATTTTGGTCACTTGAAACGCCACGAAAGTTTGGAGAGAACAGTAATGGAGGGGTATATGCCTAGGAACAGAGGTATAAAAAGGCCATTAGAAGATGGATGCGGGATATGGCGGATGAACTCCAGATGTGTGCATTGGGCGCGGGATATCTTGCTTTTGATCTAGAAGTTTTCCGGAGGGTTGTTAGGGGGCAAGGTACTGCAAAGGACATGCTGCTGACTGATCGACTGTTCTCTTATCCTCATATTGGGATGAATAGCATGGGCTAATCTAAGGTGCCCTTAAGTGTCAGTAAATTCAGTCTCTTTCCATTTGTTTTCTTCTTGGCATTCACCGGTTGTAAACGTCGACATAAAGTTCTGACTGTTCGTCTCCTTCCGTTCTGTGGCCTTTTTCTAGAACTTGAGCTTTACGTGTGCATCCATTTTAGACATCTTTCTGATTTCTATGCAGACTGTTGGTTGTTCCCTTTACAGGCAAACGCACTACAACATTGTATGAAACACCTCTAATTAATCGCTTTTCATTCATTCATTCCTTCACTCATTCGTTCATTCATTCGTTCGCTTATTCAGTCACGTATTCATTCAATCACTCATTCATTATCCTGTTGTTTCACTACTTGTCACACAGGACTTGCAGCCTAGAGCTCCCTTACGTTTCGTCCTGGGCAGTAGCATGTGTAAACAGGTGGAATCCAATCCAACACACTTGATCTTCCTCATCAACGTTCATCTTAGTTTCTCGTAGATAATAGCTTTTCACGACATGCTTGTTAGGGTAACAGGGGGTCTACCTCCCTCCCCGAAAATTGGAACCCCGGAGCTCACACGGGAAAGTGAGTTCAGGATTTCTGTTTTATACCTTTCTTTTTGTAGACTCCAGCATATGATCTTTTACAAGAAGACGACGATTCCGCCTATCTGGCCGCAGGCACAACGTCATCTCAAGGCTCCACCACAACTCAGGAAGCAGATGATGGCCGAGTGATGCCAGCAGATCAACACGTACCCCCAAACACACCCTATCCTTACAATCCATATCCCCCACCTACCAATCCAGCATATCCTCCTGGCCATTATGGGCCGCCACAGGGTTACTATGGGATGCAGGGAACTCATTCTTCTACAACTGTCATTGTGCAACAACCAGGGCAGCCACAGGTTGTGCCACCTCGTGGCTGGAGCTCGCAGTTATGCGAATGTGGCAGGGACTGGTCAATTTGTAAGTGCAAACATGTATCAAATCATGAGTTTTATATAATTATGTCGTTGACTATTCCCCATCGAACACCGGCTGTGAATTCCAGTGGAAGGTCCCGGTTAATCGTCCGCTTGGACTTTTGGCTTTCACCTGGACCTGATTTTTGCGTGTACAACCGTTTTTTATTTCCCTGCCTCTTGGGCAGCTGTACGCCGACTTCGAAGGAAGACGTCAGGCCTATTTCTAGGGTGACTGTGGCCATTGTTTTGTGTGGGTCGAGACTGCCTGATTTGTGTGGTGTCCGCCTTGTCTCCTTCGCCGCAGGTATTGCCCCCGGAGAACCCCTTTGGGGCAACCCCCTGTGGAACAGTTGGCCCTCAAGGGAAGGCAGGGGCAGATCATGGGCATTCCCCGCCATCCAAGGAGGCTTCCATGCATGCAGAGCCGGCACATGGCGCTCTGGTTCTGGGCTCACCCAAGGAATCGTCACGTCCTGCACATGCCTGCTTAACCTCACAACCGTATCAGGCCTCCCGCTCGACAGGGGCTGCGCCCTCTGGAAGTCAGCGGGGAGCAGCCGGTTGGTTTTGGACTTTTGGATGGTTGCTGTTGTGGTGTACCACAGCGCGGTGACGACGACACTGAGGGTTAACCGAGGATGTACGTGACTGGCCAGCCTATGGATGGTTTCTGTTGTGGTGCACCTCAGCGCGGTGACGACGACACTGAGAATTAACCGAGGATGAGCATTGAGCAATGTTCTCTTTACTCAGCAGTCTTTTAACCAAGGGTTGTGATTTTAGCTGTACTTTTGTCGAACCTACTCATGTTCCTAATGAGTTTTGATAACATTTTTCACCCAAGCGTTTGGGGGCGGGCTGATGAGAGCCACAAGGACACATCACCTCTGGGGGCCGCCAAACTCCGAGATCCCCTGACAGCTCTGTTAATGCTCATTTGAGACATTATCCGTGGCGCACGACGAGGACGTGCTGTAGGGGTCTTGCGTGAGGTTCCGTACAACCAGGATAGTAAAGGACTGCCGCCCGAGTGACGTACGGAGTATCTCCTTATACACATCATGTTGGACTTAACTTCCCCTCACGCCTGTGACATAAATCACCGCGCCACATTGACTATTATTTTCGTTCATTTGACTACATAATATTTGAATACCGAAAGGTAGCCATTTAAGACTCGGTTTATTTTCGAATATGTTGTGTTCTTCAACTCATCCTTGTTCTGCTGACAAAGGCTGATCGCCTCAATTGCCTGTTTGTCTACTGTAACTGGACCTATAAAAAATGAATTATACTTTATGTTTTCTAATCTTTTCTAAACTAATATAAGTGTGTGGTAGGATCTGGTCTGTTAGAAAGTGAAAATTATATCATTGTGACTGCCCGTGTGGGTTTCGGGGCCCTATTATATTGAAAACAAGAATAGACCCACTGCCTAACCAAAAGCATGTCGTAAGAGTCGACTAATTGGGAGCTTCCTTCGAAGTCAGAGTGCATCTGCCTGAGAGGTAAGGAACCAAGGTACTGCATACAAGTTAGTCAGATCTGTTAAACGGATGCACATGCAACACTCAGGTTCTGGAACAGGACTGCAGTCCAGAACTAGAAGAACAATCAGAACTTTCCGTCGGAGTTAACAGTCGGTGAACGCGAAGAAAAAGAAGATGACAAATGCTAATCTGTAAGCTAAACACAAAAAACCTGACAGAGACTGGTCTGTTTGTAAGTAACAGGTACGCCAGTTTGACAGAGGAAAGTCCATCTAAAGGTAACACATATATGAATGTCTGGCAGAGAATAGTCTGTCTCTGGGTAAACACACAAATCGGCTATCACCCAAATAACATGCACATATTATGGCGGCCAAAAACATGGCCTCAGTCACGTGTCAATTGCGCACTTCCGGCGACCTAATTTGCGGTTTTTTGGCGACTACCGTTACCGCTCACGCGGCGGGGATTGGGGCTAAACTAGATGGCTGGGACTCACGAGCAAAGCTGCAGGAGATGCGGAAGCTGCTGCTCGTGAGTCCCAGCAATCTAGTTTGGTCCCAATCCACGCCGCGTGAGCGGCGTTTGGCATATCCTCGGCGGTGGGAGTAGTCGCCGGAAAACCGCAAATTAGGTAGCCGGAAGTGCGAAATTGACACGTGACTAAGGCCCTGTTGGGATGATTTTGCGGCCGCCATAATATGTGCCCGTTATTTGGAGGATAGCCCAAAAATCAGTGTAGTTGAAAATGGTCTATCTGTAAGCATACGTACAATCAAAATGACAGATTATGAATGTACACTATGAATGTACACATTGTATCCTATTCTGAAGACACAGCTTATTTGATTTTTTTTTTCAACTGCCTGACTAAATGGTATCCCTTTCAGAATGTTTTTATTTTCCTATAGATACCCCCGAGAAATATTAGGAACGACACATGTTAAGGGCAATAACTCTTTTCAAAACACAATAGTTTTGATGGATTTGAGTAGTTGTCTTTCCATAAGATAACAACAATGGATATTATAGTTCCTGGACCCCTGCGTGGATACTAGGGCCCTATAAGGAGGGGAGGGGTGTCCCTGCTCCCCCCTTCCGCCCTCGACAAGAATGTCGTAGGAGGCGACTCATTATAGATGTCTTCGAAGTCAGAATGCATCTGCCTCAGAGAGGAATAACCTTATTCTTTCTCTCCGTTCACCAGCTGTAAACTCTGGCGGAAAATTATAGACTGCAGTCTGTTCCAGAGCTTGAGTGTTGCGTGTGCATCCGCTTGACAGATCT